ATCCATACAATGAGATCCTATTCAACAATACAGAGAAATGGATTCTTGGTACATGCTACAACACAGATGAACCTCAGGCCATGCTAAGTGAAAGAAGACAGACACAAAAGTACTCATATTGTGTGATTCCATTTATAGGAAATGTCTAGAGAAGGTAAATTTATAGTTATAAGAAGGCAGAGTAGTGGTTGCCTGGGTTTGGGTGGGGGGTAGAAGCCGACACTGAATACAGACAGGCTTGAGGGGATTTTGGGAAGTGAGTGAAACCTTAAGACTGGCCTGGGTGAGAGTTGCCCAATTCTATACATTTACAAATCATCACTGAATTGTACAGTTATAATGGGTGAGTGCTATGATGTGTAAATTATACCTCAACAGACCTATAAAAATGGTTGAAATTGACATCCTTTTGCCTTCATACTTTTATTTTAGCGATACTATGATTTTAAAAATCTTTGCCAGGTAGTATTTTTTTTAAAAAAGTGTTTAATCACAGAATGTAGATTTTAAGTTGGTTTCTTTCCTCTTCCACGAACCCCTGAGACCCTTCACCTTTATACCAGTGGAGACGTATTCAGACTGCAAAAACTTCTTTCTCCTTCAAACTAATTAAGCTCTGGTGACATCAGCTATATTTGCAGTGCACCTGATTAAGGCCATGATACTAATTAAATTCCTGAATGATTAGAAATGCAAATTACCAGACTTGATTCAGCAACAGGCATTGCTGCCTGGCTCCAGAAGGGTAGAGGAAATAGCCCACCTCATCTCAGGTAATGGAATGCTTTTGAGTCTAACCTGAGTTTAATAGGAAAATAATATAAACTATGAATGGCTAGGACTTACCTATTTCACATGGGGCAGTACGTCATTGATAGATGCTGCATGTTTCTAGGTGGCTCATGACTGTGTCAGCACATTGAAAAGTACCATAGTGGGATGGAAGGACCCCCAAGTTTTGGAGTTATATGGAACAGAGTTCAAATCCTGCCTCTGACACTGACCAGTGGTATGATCTTGAGCTAATTACCTAGTTTCTCTGAGCCTGTATATCTTCATCTGTAATAGGGGATTCGATTATCTATCTCAGAGGATTTGAAGACTAATTCACTAAGATCACTTATATCTTTGGGCCTAGCATACAGGAGACATATAATAAGTGGAATCTATTCATGGGATAGCTTAGATAAACTGAGGAGTCCTGACCCTTCATTTATTTGATAAATACTGAGTGTCAACCATTCATTTACTCCTTCAATTCAGCAAATATTTATTATATTCAACTTACTATATTCCCAGTAATATTCTCAGTGAATATTAAATAAAGTGAATTTAAAAAGACAAAAACCCATACCATAGCAAAGCCAACTTAGAAAATATCTAAACACATAATAAATAACTAGATTTTATGATAGGCCACAAAGAGGTATGTCCTATGGAAAAAATCAAAGTGGGGGGTAAGGGGGATATAGAGTGTTGGAGGTAAGGGAGAGAATGGGTTGCAATTTAAGGTGGTGAGGGACGGGATCATTGAGAGGTAAAGAATGAGCAGAGCGTCGGAGGAGATGTGGGGAGTTAGCACTTAGCAGCAGATATCTGGGGAAGAGCCTAGTAGGCCTGGTAGACGGCTGGTACAGAGGTCCCCAGGGGAACATACCAGATACCTTCAAGATGTACCAGGGAGGCCAGTTACCATGGCAGACACAGTGGTAAATGCAGCAGTCAGAACCGAGCTCAAATTCTGCCTCTGCTACCTACCAGCTCTGTGATCTTTGGCTCATGGACCTTTGACATTTGGGCGGCAGAGGTTTTATTTCCATTATTTAAATGAAAAAATAAAGCTCAGAGGAGTTAAATGACAAGCCCAAGACACACTAAAAAGTAAAGGGACAGCTGTCAAAGCAACGTCTTTTTACTCTGAATCCAGTATTCTTTTTGTGACACCATTCATAGCCAGCCAGAGACACGAGAGACAAGTTCAAGAGAACCAACATTGAAGGAGCCAGAAACTGTCAGCCAAGCCTGTGCCCAAGGCTGCTAGCTCTCCATTTATAAAATGAGATTTGAATATCTATTTCAAAGGATTCTCTGTCCCAAAGTATTAAAACATTTACCCCAGTTGTCTCTGAAGCTAGAATTTGTAGATTATGCTTTAGCAGAACAGGAACTACCGTTTGATTTCTGTCTGGTTCTGATCCATTTAGTTGCCTAGGGCCATCCTCCTGCACTGAGCCTATTCCAGAACTCCAGCGTGGTTGGGGGGGTAGTGAGGAGGTGGGACAGGCTGGGATCGAAGGCCTGTTTGGAGATATAAAAAGAGATGAGAGAGATAATTTATTCACTCAGTTAATAGATACCGAGCTTCTGCTGTGTTACAGGCACTTACTGCATGGAGAAGAACCATGTGGAATGTGTTAAGGAGTTTTAAATACCGGGATGGCCATACACTTTATATATATATATATATATATATAATATATCATATATATAAATATGTGTCTGTGTTTGCATGTATGCCTGTAGTTTATCTTGGAATCAGCTGTGCACCAAAGGGGACTCAGATGTTTCTGGAACTTTCATCAGAGACTTCAGGTGAATATTGAGTTGGAGGTCGAGAGAACAGAGAAGGGACATGGTGGCTCCTTCAGTGTTGGTCCTCTTGAACTTGTCTCTCGTTGTCTCTGGCTGGCTATGAATGGTGTCACAAAAAGAATACCGGATTCAGAGTAAAAAGACGTTGCTTCGACAGCTGTCCCTTTACTTTTTAGTGTGTCTTGGGCTTGTCATTTAACTCCTCTGAGCTTTGTTTTTTCATTTAAGTAATGGAAATAAAACCTCTGCTGCCTAAACGTCAAAGGTCCGATGAGGAAATGGATTTGAAATCATCTGATAAACTATAAAACAACAAGACAAGGCAAGGAACAGGTCTTCGCTAAAGAAAGAGGCTGATGGGAACTGGGGAATGGTCAGTTACCTGTTGTAGGAAAGAATGGTTTTGGCATTTCTCCACAGAGTAGACATTTGGTGCTAATTTATGCACATTAGTGAATTTTGTGCTGCTGGGGCCTCCACCAGGACTGCCTGGTGGGTGTGCCATCCTTGACAGAATCAAGAAAACCACCTGCCTCAATACTGTGATCCTTCCAGGCAGGGATGGGGCTGAAGGAGACAGGCTCTTGGGCACAGACTTGGCTGACGGTTTCAAAGTAGTCTGCTTGAGGACACCCTACAGAGGCCTAGGAAGTTGGATGAATAGAGAAAAAATCCCCCCCCCCCCAAAAATGGTTAGGTTCATTTTCAACCCAGCTTTCCAGTTCTTTGGGTTTTACATCCTGGGCATTTGGAATATCATCACTCCATGGTGACTGGTGGTGTTGAGCCCTTCTTTCCAAGCTCTGAAACCATCTGGGGTGGCTGAGAGTGAGAAGGGGAAAGTGGCATACTTTTCAGTAGGAGAAAAACACTTTTAAGAGTCAAACTTAAGGCAAGTTCTTGGAGAAAAGAGAATGATTCAGGAGAAATGCAGCCAGATGCTCTGTAGAATCATGTGTCTGATTGTAACATACATTGAGGATGGGCAGGAAAGAATCACTGAATCTGAAGAATTATTGAACCCTCATCGTGGGTGGAACTCAGGTAAACCATAGATTCCCTTGTATCTCTGGTCCCACTCTGCACACTGCGAGCCGCTCCTCAAGAGGGGCAAGGATTTTGCATTTTTCTCTGTCTCCGACGCTCACCCCAGGGCTTGATCTCCACAGTGTCTCCAGATATGTTCTTGGATGGAGTGTTGACACTGGCCATCTCCACACTCCCAGGGTGGCTAGGGAAGGAGGGCAGTCCCTGAGTCTTCTGTGGGTAATTTACCGCAGTGTTCCATAGTCCTCGATATGTGGGGAAGATTTTCATTTAATAGATAAAAATATTCCCCTTCTTCGGTAACCATTCATTTTGAGTGTGCTTGTTGCACCAACCGTGGGCTAGAAAGGGACCAGAGGGCAGAGCTTCCCACGGGGTGCCGTGACAGGCCTGGGGTGCTTGGAGTAATTTACAGGTGTTTCCCGAGATATGGATGGTTGTAAGTTTCTTATCGTGGTAAAATATGAAAAAGCAATTTTGATAACATTTAGACATTTTCAATTCTATTTGAACATTCATTGTATGGCTTCGTCCATCATCTTCTTGACTTCTATAATGACTTTTTGAGTGCCTGAAAGTCTTTGAACAGTCTCCACCATCAGAGTGTTCTGGGGCAGCTACAAACAATCCACTTCCCCTTGATTTATCTGTTAAAATGTACTGGTATCTTAAAAAAATACAAAAAAGAAACCCCCCAAAAACAGTCCTGGTCTTAGTTCAGTTATGTTTTAGTCATGATTTGTCATTAGTGATGTGATGTTCTTTGCTTGGCCTGTGTGTTAAATGTTAGGCTTTTTTTTTTTTTTTTTTTTTTTTTCTGATTTAATTTGCTCTTATATTTTATATTTTTTCTAATAACATAAAAAGCATATGTGATTTTGATCTTTACATCTTAAAAATCAGGTATCGAGTGTTACCAAGTGGAAAAAGATTTATTTTACTAGAAGGTGTTTTAAAAAGTCCATATTTAATATCTTCCATAACATTTTATCACTGTAAAAGTAATTAATAAAATTTAATTAATTTGTATCACTAAGTCTCAAATAGAATCTCCCAAATTCTTCCCAACATCCCAGTTACACAATTGTCATAATTTACTGTGTGTACCATGACATGAAAAAGGTAGGCAACACAAGTGTAAATGATCCTTGTTGCAATTTTTCATCCAGTCTTTTGGACTGGATAGAAGTGGGAAGAAAGTTAATCTTGGAGGAAAGGACTTGGTAGAAGAATCCATGATGTTGTTATTTTCACTTTTAAAGTTCCATTTGCTACAATAGTGAAATAAAGAGAATAAGTTAAACTTCGGGATGTTTCACAATGGTGGACACAGTCTGATGAGATTGGATGTGTTTTTGCAGATTCATGCCTTGCCAGCTGGATCTCCCTTGCTTCTTCCAGGAGAGAGGGGGTTGAAAGAGCCAACAGGAACTGAGAAGGTAAATGTCACTGCTTCCAGCCTGCCATATTTTGAAATTAAACATGGATTTAACAGATTTCAAAGTGTCGTAGTCATACAATTCATACAATTCATTAAGCCACATTTAAATGAAAAGTAAGTGATAACCCTCCCATTTAAAAATAATTAAGCAAGTGTTTTATATTGAACTGAAACACTTCATTTCTATTGAATAATACACCCAATAAGGGAGTAAAAGCACAACATGGATCTGAAACTGACCTTCGATTACTCTTCCAGCATGCTAGAAGTGTGGGCAAGGGGTGCCCCCTTTTCTTCTTGGAGGGCTGGGGAGAGAGGTCAGGGCTGAGAAAGTGCACCTACAGCTTTGAATGGGCTTCCTGGGGCGGGGGTGGGGGTGGGGGTGGGGTCAGGAACAAGGTGTGAAATCTGCCGTCTCAGGAGTCAGGTTGCCATATTGAGCAAATAAAAATACAACCCATGCAATGTTGGGGATATACTTCCACCAAAAAAATGGTTTGTTGTTTATCTAAAATTCTAATTTAAGTAGACATTCTGCGTTTAACTGGCAACCCTATGTGGGAGGGAGGTGCACGGAGAGGGATCTGGGAAGATGAGGAAAGGAAGGCGTCTACAGCGTGGTGGGTAAATATTAGGGTAGGAGGTGGAGATAACATTATTTCTAGGTTGTGTACTTAGAATGAGATTTGTATAGAATTTCTAAGGATGCACAGGGGCAAGGTGCTGGTCAGGGAGGCTATCAGATGAGATCAGTACTGACTCTTGAAGACCAGAAATTACCCACAGAAGGAAGATGCTGGGAATTGAGGAAGGGTTTTCCAGGCAGAACAGAGCATGTGCAGAGGCAAAGAGGGATGAAGCAACACCAATATCCTCCTCCAGGAAGTCCTCCTGGTCCCACCCAGGGGGCAATTCATCCTTCCTTGCTCTGTGCTCTCCTGTCCCTTTATTGGAGACTGAATCCCCTCACTCTTCTACTTTCTGCTGTTGAGATGTCTGTGATGTGGGGCCCATCGAGTTGCAGGTGGTAGGTTATGGGACAGACCCCAGAGCCATCATCCACTGTCCTAGTTGAGCCATGCAGCCAACAGTGAACCTAGCTGAGCAGATCCCACTTTTTGCAGAAGATAGAGAACAAACACCTGAAACGTTCCAACAGTTTCTCAAGCAACGCAAAGTTTGCATATATGTATATGTACTTAAGTAAACATAGAGATTTGATTTATAGGACATCAGACCTTAAGTATCTAGGATTGTTTCCCCAGAGAGAAGGAGCAATATGAAAGTAAACCAAATGGAAATGGAAGTCAAATTTGTTACATTCTCTAGGATTTATCTTCAAGCCGACCCATACTGCTTAAGTGTATGAAGTGATTTCTCTCTTCCACCACTCAGCAGTTGATTGCTTTTGAATATTATCTTTCAGAGGAGAGGTTGTCCTGTATCTTGTGTGTGATGCTTTTTATCCCTGTGCTTAGAGTCTTTACCTGCTTAAAGTTCTTCAACTTAGGGTGCTGCGTACACAGATAAGTAGGACCATGCTTTCTGCCTGTGGAGGCACAGAGGCTGAGGAGGCTTGGGTGTATGTGGAAAGGAAACTTTCTGGCTGCCCTCTTCCCATGAAGGTGTGATTCAGAGGCAAGCTCACCTAGAGATAAGAACATCAAAAAGTGGTTTCCCCTAATAGCTTTGAGATGTAAATAAATTTCCTTTTTGTTTAAAAGTGCTGTTTTCCAGGGGTACCTGGGTGGCTTAGTCGGTTAAGTGTCTGACTCTTGATTTCAGCGGCAGGTCATGATCTCAGGGTTGTGGGTCGAGCCCCGAGTCGGACTCCACACTCAGTGCAGAGTCTGCTTGAGGATTCTCTCTCTCTCTCCCTCTGCTTCCTCTGCCTACCCTGTTCTCTCTCTCAAATACATTAAAAAAAATCTTTAAAAAAATACTGCTTTCCAGAGTTTTACCAGCCAGAATAAGTGGCTTTTGTTGTTGTTTTCATTTTGTTGGTGGTGGGGGAGGCTATTTGGGGACTTATACTTTGCCCAGCAGCTAAGGGTTCTGAGTGGTGGGAGCCTTTCAAGTATAGGAGTGTTTATCTTGCCTCTGAAGCTAATGCTGTACATTGTTTTGCTCTTTCCTTCTCTTCGTGCATTTCCTCAAAGTGCTGGCCATCCAAGGATTGGACTTGGACTTCTGAGGACCTACCTTGGCTTTTCCTTATCTGAGAAATAACCCATATCTGGCTCTACGTTCTATCTGGGAAATTTGCCTTTTTCATCACCTTGCAGAGAGCCTAGTCTCCTTTGCCTTTCTTGGCCCTAATGCCTCCCTTCTGGGCAGAACGAATACCAGGCTTTCTTTCTCGGGGCCCACTGAGGGGTGGTTTCTGCTCTTCTGCGCCACCTGCTGTAACCAGCTCCAAACGCAGTCTTCCCGGTCTCCAGCCCCAGGCCCCCAGCAGGAACCAGAGCCAAAATCTCAGACCAAGCAGATGTTACTTAGACTGCCGGCTTTCTGTCCTGGTCTTATCTGTGCTGTCTCCACTGGCTCACTAGATCAGAATCCCAAATGTCCCCAGATGACTTGCCTCAAGTCACGCAGACCCTGAGCTCCTTGGCCAGAAGGAGGGAGCCTGCCAGTTTTGGGGTTGGTGACCAGCAGCTCCTGCCAGGTTCCTGAATACGTGGTCAGAGGAGGCCAGCCCCTGCCCAGCAGTGAAAATGCAAATGAATTTTTTTCACAATGTCAGTATACATACGGCACTTGTCCTTGAAAGGGCTCTCCAACACGTCTCCAACATGTTCCCTGATTGGGCCATGAGATTTTTCGCAAGTTGCTCAGAAATTAGAAACTTTGCTTTGTTTTTTAAGTACTCTGGACTTTTCTACGTTCTCAAAACTTGGTGATTCTAACCAAGGGACCACAAACAAAGTAGGGTGCTGCTTTTTATTAACTAAATTAAGTACCTCTCCCCTTACTTCCTATTCTAGGTTGAAAATCTCTTGATGCGGGACTTACGCATTTGTTTCTCGTCCATCATACAGAGTCCGGCACATAGTAGGTTTTCACAAAAGCTTGTTGAAAGTCCTTTTCTATTTGTCTATTAAAAGTAAAACCTTTCGGGCCAGAGACTTGGATAGTTCATTCCCGATTTAAGCCTGAAAAAATAAAGCTGACTTGGTAGAAAGAAATGATGAGTGATAGTAGTGATTTCTACTATTACTCTGATAAGAATGAGGATGTAAGCAGCTGTTGTCTCCCGAGGTTAGAAAAAGTAGCAAGGCATGTGTGCAGGAGACAGTTGGGTTAGATCTGAGATAGAGCTTCCTGAGAGCAGAGGTGAAAGTATACTCTTATAAAGAGACAAAGGAGGGTTTATCCCAGCAACTAGTCTAGAGATAGATACACACCCATTTAGTTCAGTAAACATTTATTGAATTCCTAATTATGCCAACACCATACTGGAAGCTGGAATTAAAAAGATTAATAAAGTCCAGTCCCTGACCACAGAGAAGACTGAAACAAATAGATAGTTTCAATGTCATTTCTTCAATCCTAGGAAAGGCATGGTGCCTGGGGTGTTGTGGGCACATGATGAAGGGGCACTAATTCAAGCTATGTAGTCAGGGAAGGCTTCCTGGAAGAGGTAATATTTATGCCGAGTTTTACCATCGGGTGAGAGATACCTAGATGAATAAATGCAGTCAGTGCATTCTAGGAAAGGTGGGCAGCTAGATTAATTGATATAGAAACATCTTTAGATCATAGAAAATCCTTTCTGTCATTCCGAATTGAGTCATCTGGGAAATGCTGTTGTCCCATAAGAAATGTCCTACAATCCTGATGGCAAAAAGTGGGGGGAGCTCGGCTTTCTGTTTCGTGTTTGACTTGTCACCTTACTGGGACAGCCTTTCATGGATTTAGGAGGTTGGAAAAGGTAAAGGAGGGAATCTTGTTTTCCTCTGCATCCGAGAGTCGTGATCCTTCAAGGAGCCTCTCTGCTCCAACATTTAGAACACATTCAGAGCTGGCATGTCCATGATCCATCAGATCCGATGTGTTTGGGGGCTGCCTGCAAAGCCTTGGGATCCAGGAGGCCACATGGAGGAAGGCTAGGGCTGAGGCCTGCCTGCTAGGTCAGAGAAAAGAAAGAGACTACTACCTGGAAACTCTCTCAGCGGCTACTTTTTGAATTCTGAAAGATTACTTTAGCAGGTCCCATCGTACAGATGGGAAAACTGAGGCTGACACTCATGGAGCCACCTCCCAGGTCCTGGGGGAGTAAGAGGCAGCTCCTGTGTATTCATTTAGCTTCTTGTTCTTACTTTCGTGCTGCAGCGAGGACCTCAGGGTGGGAACCTGTGAGAGGCATTTTTCCCAGAAAGAAGTGCTTTTGAAATGGCAGGCTAGTCAGTAATGGCCTGTTTCCACTGGATACCCTGCTTATTGGGCTGGCATCGTGGGGTGGGGGTTCCCAGCCTCCTCCAGGGAGGTCCTTCAATCCCAGCCATGGCAGCTGGTGTCCTCCATGCCCTGGACCACCATCAGAGAAAGGAATCCGAGGGAAAACAAAGAGTGCCGCCCGTGGCTGCAGACCTGAGCCCTCCACGCCCACTTGCCCGCGGCGGGCCCCAGCAGGGCTGGTGCCAGGCGCTGTGCCGCTTCTCCACCCCTTCCTGGGCCCCTCGGCTCATCTGCTGGCTTTTAGAACTGCAGCCCTCCTGAATGGGTCTTTGTGTGCGCCCCAGGAGCTGGCTCCGAAGAGCCCCGATCGAAATGCTGGACAGAGATGTCTCCTCTGGATCCAGGCGCAGCTCGGCGCGGTGCCCATCTTGTGGGAGGCAGGCCTTTCTTGTGCCGCCGTGTGGCTCCATATCTGGGAGCGAGCCGGGACCCAGATGAATGGGAGAAATGCTCTGCACCCTGCACAGTGGGGTCATCGGCAGGGCCACGGGGATGTCAGGGAATGCCAGCGCCTTGGTCATCTCCCCTGAGCTCTCT